ATATATATATATATATATATATATATATATATATATATATATATATATATTTTATGAGTAGTCACACTTGATACCTACCTGAATTACCAAACTGACATCAGGATAATTCATTCCACGAGCCGACACGTCTGATGTGATAAGAATCAGCTGTTTTGCTTCCTTGAATTCTTCAGAAACACGACTTCTGTAAAGTTGTGGTTTCCTTGAATGAATCTCTCTCACATTCAGTTTCATCTCACGAAAAAGGGAAAACATCAGTGATGTCATCATTGCTGTCGTACAGAATACAATAACCTGAGAAATTAAATAATAATAATCATAAATATCTCATTCTAGCTTCAACAACTACTACAATTAAATGGATTGTACCTTATAATTTGGGGTTTGAGCAATATGCTGTTTCAATAGATGGTGAACTATTTGAAAATGTTGTTCATGGGGTGCAATCATGTAAGATTGATTCACCTTATCATGTGTTTCTGGACCTAACCCAACTGTATTAATATACTCGTGATCCCTTTTCAAAACAAGCTGAGATACCCTTCGAACCTGAAAGAAAGTAAAAACTCTTTTTAGAAAAATCCGATTTTTATTATAAAGTATAAACTAGGAAGGAAGTGGAAAGACCTCTTTTGGAAGTGTTGCAGAAAAGAGTAAAGATTGTCTTTGACGAGGTAAACAATCAACAATTTTCTCCATGTCCTTCCGGAATCCAAGGTCTAGTAAATGGTCTGCTTCATCAAGTATAAGCATTTTCAATCCCATCAAACGTGCAGAGAATCCAGATTTGTTTTCAATGTGATCCAACAATCTACCAGGGGTTGCGATAATAATCTGTGCATTAGAAAAAAAAAATGTTTATGCAAATGAATATTTTGAGAAAATAAAACCGGTAAATGATAAGCAAAAAAGAGTTGCATACGTGGCATGGTTCTGTTTCTAGACGTTTCTGATCAACTTTGAATCGAGTGCCTCCAACAAGAGTTTGAACACCAATTCCTTCATGATATTTGAGTAATACATTGGCTTCTGCAGCTATCTGGCTTGCTAGTTCTCTTGTGGGACAAACAATAAGAACACATATTGGTGGGACCCGTTTTCTCTCATTGCTAGCTGAAGCCTTTAAAACTGTTTCAATTGCGGGGAGCTGTTTGTGTTTAACAATATTGCATAACCAAAAATAAAAAGCACGAGAAAGTAACAAGCTGAATGTAATCAAGAAATCGGATTTTAGCATACCAAAAAAGCAGCACTTTTCCCTGTTCCAGTTTTAGCTTTGACCAAAGCATCTTTCCCTATTAGGAAGAAATTAGATTGAGACATAACAAGTTAATGAGCAAAACATCACACAAACAGATATCATACCCTCAAGGCAAGCAGATATTGTAGCATCTTGGACTTTGGTCATTTGCACATAGCCTGCTAAAGTAAGAGCTTTTATTGTCAATGGAGATACATTGCACTCATCAAACCTGAGAAAGGAACAACCCCAAAGCTATTGTCAACATAAAGCCTAAGAACCTTATAACCATTATGATTTACCAAAGTTACAACATTATCAGCTTTAGCAGTTACATTACATCAAGAAAACCAAAATGCAAACCTCTTTGGACTAAGGATGGAGTCGTCATCACCCACTCCAATGTCTTTTTCAGCCATACGCCTCTTATGGAACTCATTCCTAATAGCCTGTACATGCAGAGACAAATCATCCTCCTCTTCCAAGAATTTCAATGGTATCCTTTTTGTCTTCTTTATATCATATTTTCCTAATGCAGCACTGCTCATCATCATCTTCTTCCCATTTCCCTTCCCTTCATCATCATCACCACTCCCCTCGGCATCTGATGAGCCAATCAAACTCAATCGCGATCCTCTTAAATCCTCACCCTTCCTCTTCGTCATTAAAAAAGCTTCATCTTCGTCCGTATCATCATCTTCGCTTGAGGAGCTATCATTTTTCCTATAGGTAAACCTAGATGTCCTAACTGAATAATGCCTAGCTTTCAGCAAACCATTTTGGTTACCTAAATTAACGAACGACGAATAGTTCCTGGGTTTCAACTGATTATTACTAAAACCCGAAGAAACTTCACTTACTTGATTACTCGCTACCCGATTTTGATCAGAAACCACTCTTCGCAAATTAATTGGATTATGAGTTGATTCAATTCTGGCTATTTCTTGAGGAGAAGGAGAATGAATTGGGCCATCAGCTTCGTTCCACAAATCTTCCGCGCCTTCTTTCATGAAACGATCCGCTAGAGCTTTAATATGTTCTTTAGGGGATAATGGTTTATAGTTGGGTGAATTCGTGTTTTGCTCATGTTTTGATGAATCGGGGGTGGCGATTTTGGAGCGGATCTCGGATCGAACCCGCGCCTGGTAGAGCTGTTTCTCTTGATCCAGAAGCCGTTTTTCCTTCTCCCTGGCTTGCTTTTCGTGGAGGCGCTTCCATTGCCATTTGTTCAGGCCGCCAGGGAACGTCCGTGGGCCGCCGCCCATGTGGCGGAGGAAGGTGAGACTGTGATGAACATTGTTCTGGAATATCCTAGAACGTTCTAAGAAGATAATGGATGAGTACATTTTTTCTGGTATAGAGGTATATGTTTAGGGTTTTGAGGGTTTAAACGGTTGAAATCGAAGAACAAGAGAAAAAGTTTTTTTCCAGGGTTTTGCAGGTTGATCAACAAATGTACATTATCAGTCCTTTCTGTTTTGGTTACGGTCTTACTTTTAATTTTAGCTTTTAAAATCAAAAAAAATAAAATTAAAAAATAAAAAATAAATAGATCTTTGGGAGTATATAGTATGATATCATAGTTTTTATTTTAAATAAAATACTTCCAATCCAAAAGCCATGTAAATAGTTTTTTCAATATTTTAACTTTTAACTTTTTAGTTTTGAGAAAACTCCATAGAATTATTTATATATTGACATTTAAGTCTTTATATTCTTTTATTCAATTAAATTTTAAAAACACAGAATTATATTCAATTTTATCATTTTACCTATCATTTTCTTTTAAAAATTACATTTTTTGCCTAGTTTTTAAATTTGGTTTAAATTTATATTTTTTGTCCAGATTTCAAAATTTTGTTATGATTTTATCTTAAATTAAGTTTTTTAATTTTTTTTTAAGTAAAATCAAGGTTGCAGAAATCGGGATTAATCGTGGATTAATCGTTTGGCGTTCTGCAACCGATTAGGATTAAGATTGTTTGAAGGTAATTGGTCAATGACGGGCTTGGCGATCTTGGCGGTCAACGACGGTCAATGATAGTCAAAATTAGTCAAATGTTAAAGCTGGTCATAATTAAAAAAAAAAAAAAAAAAAAAGGCTCCAAAGCAGTCAAATGTTAATTTCGTCTAACCCTAATATCGCATTTCATCACGTCGCCGTTTTTGTCACTTCCTCACATCTCTCTCAATCGCCGAAGCAAATCGTATGGGATCGGCGATACACTGAAGTCGAAGGAAATCGTAAGAGACCGGTGAACCTCCAACAAAAAGAAACTCGTTTTTCTGTTTCTCCTTCGAAGCTTCATCCTACGAAGCTTTATCCTCCAGGTTTGCGATTCGATTTATGTTTCTCCTTGCACCGAACTCGTATTTCTCCCATCAAAATTCATTTTTCTTCCACAAATTGATGAGTTAATGTTGACTGTAGCCGATATATCACAAATATGTGTTTCACTTCTTCTAAAAAAATGTTGAATTCTCCCATCGGTTTTCTGGATTGCGATTTCTGCAACTATTACATTTTAATCGATATGTTCTTCATATTTCTCCTGTTTGTATTTATTTCAGTATTGGATAGCGATTTCTGCATTAACTTGTTTGTTGGGTACTGATTTCTACTTTCTGCATTAATCTGTTTGTACCAATTTCTACTTTCTGTATTAATCTATTTGTTGGTATCCTTCTTCTTCTTGTTTGCAGTGGGAGCTTCATAATCAGCTTGAGAATGCGACATAAACCCTTTTATATGATTGTTAATTTTGATATTTTTTTCTTTCAAAGCACGTGAATCTGCTTCTATGATCAAAAGTTAAAACCCATTAATTATATATAATATGTTTTGAAATTACGAAGTTATATCCATTATATTATATATAATATGTTGTTTTGAGTTTTATTATATGATGAATATTCAGCGGCAAAAATCATAGTCATTAATAAATAATAACAAATTATTATCAAAGTTTGGAAAAAAGGAACTACCGTTATGTTTCAGAATGTAATCTGTTTGCTGGTATCCTTCTTCTTCTTATTACATCTATTCTTGATTAATGTAGCCAAATTTCGCATTCCTATTTGTTTGTATATGTTCTTGATTAATTGTTGTAGTCTGGAATGAAGTTTTGTTATTAACTTATTGTGATTTTTGATGTATTTTTTTATGTATACAACAGTTTCCAATAATGACATCCAAAAATTCGACTTCACCATCAGTGGGATCAACCGTGAGCGTTGCTCATAAGCGAAATTCAGATGATATTGGTTGGGAATATAGTTTTTGCCCGGATAAAAACTAAATGGATACAGTGAAATGTAACTTGTGTGGAAAAGTGTTTACCAGGGGGGTTACTAGATTGAAACAACATATTGGTCATGTGTCGGGAAATGTAAGTCGATGTCCAAACTCTACAAAAGATGATCAATTGAGAATGCGATATTTTATTAACGAAGGGAAGATAAAAAAGAAAGCTAAACTCGAACATGATAAGGCCTTAAGATCGGACGCAATACAAGTGTTAAATGATAGTGTTGAAATGGATGAAATTGAAGATTCTTTAGGGTCGAAAGCACCAAGTTATATAGGCCCCGTGGATGGCTATGCGAACAAAATAAACCCTGAAATTATGAAGGGAAAGGGAAAAACAATTGATCTTAATGATGTTGTTCGGAAAGAAATTTAGCGTGCCATAAATTCATTAGTAGGTGGGCATATAAAACTGCAATTCCTTTTCATGCACCGGAAGATGATAGCTTCAAGATGATGTTGGAGGTTGTTGGCCAATTTGGAACAGGGCTCCCACCTCCTACCAGATATTCTTTGTGTGACCCGCTTCTAAAGCATGAGGTTGAAAGAACAAAAAGTTTGTTGAAAAAAAACGAAGAAGAATGGAAAGAGATTGGATGCTCGATCATGACAGATGCTTGGTTTGATAGAAAAAGAAGAAGCATTATGAATTTATGTGTAAATTCAAGAATGGGTACCGTTTTTATATCATCAAAAGAATGTTCCAATGAATCACATACAAGTCAGTACATATATGATTATGAGGAATCTTGCATTCAACAAGTTGGTCCTGATCATGTTGTTCAAGTTGTGACCGATAATGTCACGAATAACATGGGAGCTGCAAAGTTACTACAAGAGAAAAGACCAACTATTTTTTGGACATCATGTTCGACACACACAATTAACCTTATGCTCGAAAGTATTTATATTTTTTATACATTATTTACTTTTTTTTACATGTCTTATTTTATACTATAATTCGTTAATTTGTTATATAATATTTTTTTCAAGGTATCGGTGGACTTCCAAGGTTTAAGAAAGTCTTAGATCAAGCAAAGAAATTAACCATCTTCATTTATGTTCACCACAAAACTTTGGCTATGATGAGAAACCACACCAAGAAAAGAGAAATTATCCGATCGGAAGTCACGAGATTTGCTTCCGCCTTTCTAACATTACAAAGTTTATCCGAAAAGAAGGAGCAACTGAAAAATATGTTCTCTAGTAATGAGTGCGAGGAATGCAAATTTTCTGGAACACCTAAAGGAAGAGCCTCATATGGAATAGTGACAAGTCTTCAATTTTGGGCCGGTGTGACACGATGTTTAAAAGTGTTTTCCCCTTTGGTAAAAGTCCTTCAAATGGTTGACGCGGATTGGAAGCCCTCAATGGGTTTTGTTTACGGGGGAGTTTAAAGTGGCAAAAGAAGAAATTATGAAAGCTTTGGGTGGTAACGAGAAATCTTACAAGCCTATTATAGATATCATAAACCACAAGATGAAAGGTAGGCTAGATTCAAAATTACATTTGACGGCTTATCTTTTGAATCCTTATTATCATTATAAGGATTCCCAACTCCAACATGATCCCGACGTAATGGATGCGGTTCTTGAATTTTTTGATACATTACTTTGTGGAGATTTTGAGATGCAAAGACAAGTTGTGATGATAGATTTGCCAAAATACAAGGAAAAAGTTGATAGATTTGGAGCGGATCTTGCAATTAAAGGTTGTATGGTGAACAATGCCGAATTTGATCCGGGTAATGTGCTTTTTGTTTATTTTAGTAATTTATAAAATAATAGAATTTTATATCTATCAATTTAATAATGTGTTTTTGTTTTAAAATTATAGCAAGATGGTGGGGACTTTTTGGTGGCTCAACTCCTCATTTGAAAAGGATTGCAATGAGGATTCTTTCTTTAACTAGTAGTTCATCGGGTTGTGAAAGAAATTGGAGCACGTTTGAAGCGGTTAGTTATAAAGCTGTATTTTTTAAATATCAAGAACGTTTTTAACCTTTTTTATGTCTACTTTTATAGGTACATACAAAGAAACGTAATAGATTGGAGACAAATAGATTGAACAATCTTGTTTATATTCAATTCAATGCTAATCTAATGGAAAAAAAAAACAAAAAGAGAAAAGATAAGACTTTAGGGTTCTCGGTCCTAATTGAGATATTGACTAATATGATTTTCAAAGCAAATGTGTGTCTATATATATATATATATATATATATATATATATATATATATATATATATATATATATATATATATATACACACACATATATCATACAATTGATGCCTTCTTGGCGTTCAATGATTTTTATTGCAACATATAAACATTGTGGGTACACTTATTAATAAAACCCTTCAAACTTTGTTTGATTCAAAATTTTCCAGTTGTCACATCATCCCCCCGTTAGAGGGAATTTCGTCTCGAAATCTGCATCTTGAACGGGTTCTTGCGACTAGAGGAAAAGTTGTGGGTATTTATGTTTCATTTTATCTTCCCGCTCCCAAGTGAATTTGGGTCCTCGTTTGGCGTTCCAGTGGACCTTCACTATTGATGTACGGATTTGTTTCGTCCTTTTGACTTCCCTGTCCATGATTTCTATAGGTTCCTCTATGAAGTGTAGACTCTCGTTTATCTTGATCTTGTCGAGTGGGACCACAAGAGATCTCATCAGACAGACACTTCTTCAGGTTGGACACATGGAAGACGGGGTGTACATTGTTGAGTTCCTGTGGCAATCAAAGCTTGTAGGCTACTGGGACGATCCTAGAAAGGATTTCAAATGGCCCAATATACCTTGGGTTTAGCTTCTCGTGTTTGCCAAACAGTATCATTCCCTTCTAGGGCAAGACCTTTAACAGTTCACGGTCATCGACCTGGAACTCCAAGGGTTTTCGTCGCTTATCAACATAGCTCTTTTGCCGATCTCGGGATGCCCTTAGTCGTTTGCAAATATGAACGATATTCTTTCTAGTTTCCCGTACGATCTCCGGGCCGGTGAATGTGTTATTCGGTACTTGCCCTCTTTCTAGCTGCATGTCGCCCACCTCTGCCCAACACAGTGGTGATCTGCACTTGCGCCCATAGAGGGCTTCAAATGGCACGACCTTGATGCTAGTGTGATAGTTGTTATTGTATGAGAACTAAATGAGTGGTAAGTGGATATGCCAATCCTTACCAAAGTCTGTCATACATGCTCTCAACATGTCTTCCAACGTCTGGATGGTCCTTTCGCTTTGTCCTTCAGTCTGAGGGTGATAAGTCATACTCATGTCGAGTTTGGTTCCCAAAGACTTTTGTAGTGACTGCCAGAACCGTAAGGTGAACCTACTATCCCTGTCGGAGATGATAGATATTGGCACCCCATATAGTCACATGATTTCTCTAATATGCGTTCTGGTTAACTTCTCCATCTTTTCGGTCTCTTTTATTGGTAGCAAGTATGTGGATTTGGTTAACCTGTCAATGATCACCTAGATAGTGTCAAGTCTATCTGATGTCTTACCTAACTTGGTTATGAAGTCCATTTAATCCGCTTCCACTTCCACTAGGGAATGTCCGATTGTTGAAGCAAACCCGAGGGCTTTTGATATTCTACCTTGACCTTGGTGTAAGTCAGGCACTTGCCCACATAGGTAGAGATCTCTGCTTTGATGTTCAGCCACCAATAGAGTTTCTTGAGGTCCAGATACATCTTGTCTGCACTGGATGAACGGAGTATCTGGTCTTATGAGCCTCGTTCATGACAACGTCTCTGTACCCACCGAACTTCGACATCCAAGTTCGATTCATGAGATAATAAGCTCTGTTATCCTTAACTTCAAGGTTTTTATCCATTCCCCGTAAGGCCTCCCCTTCAACGTTCTTAGGTTTTAAGGCCTCTTGTTGCACCTCCTTGATTTGTATGGACAGGTGGGAATGGATGGTCATAGTTAAGGATCTTACTCGGCGACACAAGTATTCCTTTCGACTTAGGGTGTCTGCTACTACATTGGCCTTACCTGGCTAATAACGAATTTCGCATTCGTAGTCATTTAGCAGTTCGGCCCATCATCGTTGAGCTCCTTTGGATTGAGAATGTGTTATAAACTCTTATGATCTGTGAAGATGGTGCATTTGGTTCCGTAAAGGTAGTGTCTCCAGATCTTTAGGGCAAACACCACTGCCCCTAATTCGAGGTCATGCGTGGTGTAATTAGCCTCATGATTCTTGAGCTGTCTTGAGGCATAGGCGATGACATTTCCTTGTTGCATGAGTACACAGCCTAGGTCTTGCTTGAATGCATCACAATAGACCACAAAGTCTTCGGTCCCTTCCGGGAGGCACAAGATGGGAGCACTGCAAAGGGCTTGTTTAAGCCTTTGGTGTAACACCGTAAATTTCCAAAACAATTCTTTGCATTTATAAAAACATAATTCATTTGTAAATCATAAAAACATCATTGTTTGGAATTCAATGTATAACATATAACAATATCCCAAGATCTCGTATCATAAAATCACGTGTGTGTACTGATCAAGATGGCGCCTTCCCACGATCCTCACTAGTACCTGAAACACATAACACAAAACACTGTAAGCACAAAGCTTAGTGAGTTCTCCAAAATACCACATATAACACATATTAGCCACTCAAGGCTATAACTCTATGGGTCCGTGCACCCAAGCTCTGTGAACCCTCAGGTTCTAACTCTGCAAGCATGCACAACATAAATCAGATAGAAGAATGCAGTACAACAAACAATATATATATAAAGCAATGTATCACATAACTCTATTTACCTACTCAAGGTAAAGTATAGTGAGAAGACTCACCTCGCGTATCTCGATAACTCGTAAATCCCTGAAATCACTAGTGCTCGATCTTCCGAGCTATAGTCCTCCTATAACACAATACATCTCTAATTAACACTTCATAATTAAGGTTGACTAACTCTATTAAGTCAACACCGGTCAACTCTGGTCAATGGTCAATGGTCAACCCCGACTCGCCGAGTCCCTACGAGGACCCCCTTTCCTCTGAGTCCCTTCCGACTCACCGAGTCACTCACCCAACTCAGTTACTCAACCCCTGGTTCGAAATCTATGAACAACCCGCACCAACTCGTCGAGTCTGCCAATGGACTCGACGAGTGCATTCCATGCACAACCCCAAACGACCTTCTGAGGTCAGATCTGTTTCACTAACTCATAGATCCAGTCCTTCCAAGCTTATTTATCACGTAAAGTTCATGTCTTAGTGCTCATATCACACCTAATGACTCATAAATGGTGTTTTGACCTCAAACACAAAGATCCCAAACCAAAACCTCCATGGATTCATAAAAAGCTTGGACAAAGGGACACTCTGGACCTCCAAGGGTCCAGATCCAGAACCTAACTCGCTTAAGGGACCAAATGGGCACTAGATCTAGCCACAAAAGGGCTCAACAAACCCTAAATCAACATGAACATCACCTCAACAGAAAAGGGTTCGAAAATGGTACCTCAATGTGATGTTCTAGACCTCAAATCTTCAGGAAGTTGTTCCTCTTGCTTCCTCTTGGCTAAAACTTCCTTTCCCTTGCTAAACAACACCTCCAATGGTTGATAATGTCTCCTTCTCTCACTCCACACGCTCAAATGCACTAGGGTTTCACTCTGGGGGCTGGTGAGCACAAATGACGGCCATAAGGCCCTTTAAATAGGCCCCAAACCTGAGAAATTAGGGTTTCATTATACAGCGCTGACTCGCCGAGTCCACGATTGCGAGTCGCCGAGTCCAACCATTAATCCGGATGAGAAATTGCGTCTCTACTCGGAGAGTCTACGCACCAACTCACTGAGTTCTTCCTCAAAACTCAAAATAAAAAGAATAAATATAATACCTGGAATTTCCGGATGTTACATTTGGAAAGTAGCTTCATGTTTATTTCCCCATCTGAAAGTTACTCCCTTCTGTGCTAAGGTTGTGAGCAGTTTTGCGATCTTAGAGAAGCATTGTATGAATCTTTGGTAATAGCAAGCAAGGCCTAAAAACCGGCGTATCTCCGTTGGTGTTCTTGGTGTTGCTTAGTTTGCAATCGACTTGAATTTGGAAATAACCACATGTATCCCTTCCTCGCTGATTACATGTCCCAAAAGTCTACTTTTCGGATCCAGAATTCACATTTTGAGAATTTGGCGTATAGTTTTCTGCCCTTGACGTCTCCAAGACTTGTCGTAGATGCTGACAATGTTCCTCCTCCCTTCGTGAATAAACTAGTATGTCGTCGATGAATACTATCACAAATTTACCCAGGTATGGCTTGCAGCCCTGCACACACGGTTTATTAAATCCATGAACATTGCTGGCGCATTCGTTAAGCTGAAGGGCACCACCACAAACTTGTAATGACCGTAGTGAGTTTTGAATGTCGTCTTAGGGGTATCTTCCTCCTGAATTTGAAGCTGATGATACCCCGAACTTAGTTCAATCTTCTAGAAGTAGATCGACCCTTGCAGTTGTTCAAATAAGTCTTCGATTCAAGGTAGGGGATAACAGTTTTTTATAGTGATCTTGTTCAGTTCTCAATAGTCTATGCACATGCAGAACGACCCGTCCTTCTTTTTCACGAACAATACTGGTGCTCCCCAAGGTGGGAAGCTTGGTTGGATGAATCCTTTGCATAGAATTTCATTTAGTTGGTTGGATAGTTCCTACATTTCTGCAGGTGCTAGGCGGTATGGGGACTTGGCTATGGGGGTGGCTCCAGGAATCAAGTCGATTCTGAACTCGAATTGGCTTACCGGTGGGATTCGCGGAAGGTATTTTGGGAATACATTAGGGAAGTTGCAGACCTCGGGAGTATCCTTAATGTTTTTCACTTCTTGTTTCTCATCCACTACGTGGGCTAAGAAGGCGAGATATTTCCTACGCAAATACTTACGAGCCTTGATGCAAGAGATGATTTATAAGTTCATGTCGGGTTCATCGCCATAAATGACGAGGGTTTCGTTATTTGGTAGGTTAAGGCGGATGGCCTTTTTATAACACAAGATTTTGACATGGTGAGGACTTAACCAATCCTTGCCAATGATAACATCAAAGCTACTGATTGTGACCAGCATTAGTTCGATTTGGAAGGAACGGTTGTTTAGAGTTAATGTGC